TCACATTTACATCTTTTGTCCATTTTAAGTTTATTTTTGTGTGTGGCATAGGAAAGTGGTCCAGTTTTATTCTTTTATATGTAGCTGTCCAGTTTTCCCAACACCATTTGTTGAAGAGACTGTCTTTTCCCCAGCGTATAGTCTTGCCTCCTTTGCTGAAGAGTAATTGCCCATATAATCATGGGTTTATTTCTGGGCTCTCTACTCCATTCCATCAATCTATGTGTATCTTTGTACCAGTACCATCCTGTTTTAATTACTATAGCTCCCAATTTTTGATTACTAAGAATGAAGCCTTATAAACATTTATGTGCAGGTTTTGTGTGACCATAAATCATTTCTCTGGGGTAAATGTCTAGGAGAGCAATTGCTTGGTTGTTACATATTTAATCTTTTAGGAAACTGTCAAACTGTTTTCCAGAGTGGTTGTGCTTACTAATGACATATGAACAAGCAATTTTCTCCACATTCTCGCCAGCTTTGGTATGGTCACTCCTTTTTTATTTTAGCCATTCTGCACGTATATGTAGTGATATTTCTTTGTGGCCTTAATTTGCATTTCCCTAATAACTAATAGTGTTAAAAATCTTTTCATATACTTATTTGCCATATCTGTATCCTTTTACATGACATGACTCTTCATGTCTTTTGCCTGTTTTCTGATTGGATTGTTTGTTCTTTCACTGTTGAGTCTTTAATATTCTTTATGTATTCTAGATGCTTATCCTTTGTCAGATATGTGGTTTGCAAATATTTCCTATCAGTGTATAGCATGCCTTTTCATCCTCTCAGTGTGGTCTTCCATAAAAAAGTGTTTAATTTTTATGAAGTCTGGTATGTCCGCTTCCTTTGCTTTTGGTGTCCAGTCTAGGAATTCTTCACCTAGTCCCAGATTTTCCATAGTCCTATGTGTTTTCTAAATTTTTTTATACTTTTACATTTATGCCTATGATTCATATTGAGTTAAATATTATATAAGGTTTAGATTTTGGTATAGGCTCATTTTTGTTGTTCTTGCTTGTAGACAACCATTTGTTCCAGCATCATTGTCAAAATGTTAATTTTACTCTACTGAGTTGCCTTAGCACTTTGAAATCAATTGGGTTTATTTATGTGGCTTTGTTTTTAGATTTTCTGTTCTCATCCACTGGTGTATGGATCTGTTAATTTGACAGTTCCACATGATCTTGATTACTGAATTTATAAAATAAGTCTTGAAAATGAGTAGCCTGATTTATTTTATTCTTTTTTGAAATTATTTAAACTATTCTATTGAGTCTTGAAGGCTTTCTTTCTTTATTATTTATTTATTTGATGGAGGGGGAAGAGAGAGAGAGAGAGCACAAGCAGGGGGAGCAGCAGAGGGAGGGAGAAGCAGGCTCCCCGCTGAGAAGGGATCCTGATGTGGGGCTCAATCCCAGGACCCTGAGATTGTGACCTGAGCAGAAGGCAGACACTTAACTGACTGAGCCACCCAGGCACCCCAGGTCTAGGCTTTCTTCTGAAACATATTTTAGAAGAATCTTGCCCAAATCTTCAAAAAATCTTGTTGGGATTTTGATAGAAATGACGCTAAACCTGTTTGAGGAGAATTGATATCTTTATAGTTTTGAGGTTTCCAATCTTTTAGCATGGTATATTTCTCGATTTATTTGGTTTCATACTGGTTTCTTTCCTCAGCATAGCACAGTTTCAAGGGTATAGTTTTCTACCCTTACCCTACAGCTAAGCATTTTTTTTAAATGATTATAAGTGGCATTGTAATATTTAATTTTAGTGTCCATGTGTTCAATGCTAGCATGCAGAAATACAGTTGAATTTTGTATGTTCATTGTGTATCCTGTGCACTTGCTTATCTCAAGTATTAGCTCCGGGAATTTTCTTACAGACTCATTGGCATTATCTATGTAGATAATTGTGTCACCTGCAAAGAAGGGCATTTTTATTTCTTGCATCCTAATCCATATGCATTTGTTTTCTCTTCTTGGCTTACTGCTCTGGCTAGATCTTCCAGCACAATTTTGAATAAAAGTGGTGAGACAAGACATTCTTGCCTTGTTCTCAGTCTTAGGGGGAAGCATTCAGTCTTACACCATCAAATGTCATGTTAGCTGTAGGTTTTTTAGGATTCTCGTTGTCAAGTTGGGGAAGTTTTCCTCTTCATATTTTACTGGAAATTTTTCTCATGATTGAATGTTTAAATATGTGCAATGTTTGTTTGTTTTTCTTTTTCCTACATAGATTATCATGATCTAGTGATTTTATTCTTTAGGAAATATGATGGCAGATCATATTGATTGATTTTCCAAATACTGAACCATATTTACATCCCTGGAATAAATACCACTTAGTCATGTGGGAGAATTCTTTTTATATATTGCTTTTGTTTGCTCTTACTTTGTTAAAAATTTTCATATCCATATGTATGAAAGCCATTATTGGTTTGTTGTTTTCTTTTCTTGCATACTTTTGTCTGGTTTTAGTATCAGGTTATCTTATCTTGAGCCGCCACAACGAAATATCATATACTGGGTGGCTTAAACAGCAGAGATCTATCTTCTCACACAGATATTTCACAGAGATTCTATTTTTTTAGGTTGGATACCCGGTATCAGAGGGCGGCATGATCAGGTTTCTGGTGAGGACTCTTGCTGGCTTGCAGATACCTGCCTTCTCACCATTGCTCATATGGCCTCTGCTCAGTGAATAGATGTTGGGGGCTGGAGGGGAATCTCTTTCTCTTCCGTTGCTCTCATGAAGCCACCAATCCTATCAGATTAGCACCTCACGCTATGACCTTATTTCATCTTAATTATCTCCTAAAAGCCCTGACTCCAAATACAGTTACACTGAGAGGTAGGGCTTCAATATATGAATTTTGGGGCAATCATTCAATCCATAGCACAGGGTAACTTTAGTGCCATAAAATACACAAGAAAGGTGCCCATCCACTTCTGTTTTTTGGAAGAAACTCTGTAAAATTGATGTTAATTTTTCAAATGTTTGGTAGATGTCTTAATGCCTTTGGGTAGATGTCTAAGTGTATATAATGGAATAGCATAGACCAAGTGGTTTATAAACAACACAGATTTATTTCTCACAGTTCTTGAGACAGGGAAGTCCAAGATCATGGTGCCATCCGATTTGGTGTCTAGTGTTAACTTTTTCTGTTACATAGACAGCATCTTCTTGCTCTCTTGATCCTCACATGGCAGAAGGGGTGGGGGAATATTCTGGAATCTCTTTGAAAAGGGTGCTAATCCCGTTTTGGGGGGCTTTGCCCTCATGATCTAATTATAATCAGAAGGCCCCATCTCCAAACATCATCACCTTGGGAGTTAGGTTTCAACATATGATTTTTGGGGGACACAAACATTCAATCTATGCCAGTAGAAATCTCCTGTAAAATCACTGGGACCTGGAGACTTCTTTTGGGGGAGTTTTAATAGTCATTATTCAAATTTTCTATTTTGTATTCGGTAAGTTGTGGTAGTGTGTGTTTTTTTTTAAGGAAGCAGCCTATTTCCCGTAAGTTATTAAATTTATGTGTGCATTATTTGTATTTTCCTTTGCTATTTTATGTCTTTGGGGGTCTGTAGTAATATTTTCTATTTTATTCCTGATATTAGGTATTTGTGTCTTCTACCTCCCCGCACTTTTTGCGTCAGTCTTGCTAGATGTTTGTTAATTTTGTTGACCTTTGCAAAGAATTAGCTTCTGTTTCATTATTTTTCTCTGTTGTTTTTCTGTTTTAAGTTTCTTTGATTTCTAAATTTATCTTATATTTCTTGCCTTCTCTTTGCTTTGGGTTTATTTTCTTCTTCCTTTTCTAAGTTCCTGAGATGGGAGTTTGGGTTGCTAATATGAGAAGTCTCCTCTTTTCTAATGTATATTTTTAATACTATTAACTTCCCTCTCATCACTGCTTAGCTGAGTCCTCTAACTTTTGATAGCTTGTCTTTTTATTTTCATTCATTTCGATGTATTTTTTTCTTCATTTTCCCTTGGGACTTCCTCTTCGATCTGTGGATATTTAGAAGTGTGCTGTTTGGTGACTGGGGATTGTCCTGTCATTTTTCTCTTATGAATTTCTAGTTTGATTCTGAAACCTACAGCAGCTGGAATTAGATATTCAATACCATAGACTTACTGGTAGCCAGAATTTCTCGACAAAGAATGAATGTTCATACTTACTCTTTTTGGAATCGGAGAATTGTGTTCAGACTATACTAAATCACCTATCTAGAGACAACCTACTTAATTAGCAAAGTTAGTTTGTATTTGTAAAATACAAACTGATGAAACATTTCTTTGACATTTTGGAAAGCTGTTACTTTATAAAGCATTATGCATAAAATATATATTATTTTCCTAGTTCACTCATTCAAGACTGCTGACTTTATCATCATTAACATTTCTAAATATATATAAACTTAGTGATGGGGGAAAAACATATGTAAGAATCCAAAAGACTTGCCTTGAAAACCAAACATTAAAATCAATTCATTTGACCTCTGCTCAAGGTAGTAATTGATTTTTGTTTATTATGCTGTGACTAGTATATGTTTTCTTTCCAAGAAAGCTATGATTTATTTCGGGCAAATAATAAGAATAAGCACATTAACTATGAGATGTGACAACCCACCATCTAATAATTTCAGAGGACAATAATAAAGTGCATGCAAAATCATATTTTTTTCATGTAACATGTATAAAGATGACTTTGCATTAAGTTTCATGTCCCCTGTTTCATGCAATGGTGTATTGTACAATTCCTTCAATAAAGAATTTTCTCAAAAAGTTGTTTAAATGAACTGTTACTTGAACATGCTTAATTTCAATTACCTGGCAACACCTTGAGTGAGGATCATGTAATTGTTTAGTGACATATCTCAAATAAACATACCGCCGTGAAAAGAGAAATACAATGACTTCATCAAATAAGCTTGAATCACAAATTTATGCTTTTTCACTCTGTTCCTATATTTTTTATGGTTTAGATTATCGGGATTCCAGCTGCCGTCCTCAATAGTCAGCACGGGATCTATCCTCACGCTGTGGTTCACGACAGACTTTGCCGTGAGCGCCCAAGGCTTCAAAGCCCTGTATGAAGGTAGGACATTCCTGGGCTCTGGACACACATACTGTCCAGACCATCTCCTACTTGCCACACGGGATTCAAGATTTCAATGCAAACACAAGCTGCTATTTCAGAGGTGGTTTGATGTTATAAACACTTGACTCTTGTGTAATATATTGATGATTGCAGAACACCGTCTGCTATAACTGCCAAACTTTCCAGGGCAAAACGTGTGTTTACAATTTTCCTTTATGGGTGGTACTCTTTTTAGTTGGAGAAGTGGTTTTTCTTTTGATGTGTGGCAGAGAAGTTTTGAAAATTTTGAATACTAACTCACAGCGCAGCTATTCTGTGAAAAATTCATTTTTAACTCAGAAGTGTTTTAAGAATGTAATTCGTAAACTTTTCGCTGGACAGTAATACTGTTAGTGCTTAAGTGAAGAGAATTCCGTGACACGTTTTTCTTGTCAAAGCTGAAATGTTTAATTGAGATTACTTTGGTTTTACTGTTTGGTCATTGCAAGGCATCTGGATTTTGTTTGTGTTTTCAGATTTCGTGCATAGGGACCCTTTGGAATCTTGATATTGTTGAACTATTGTTGAACTTGGGGATGGAAATTTTAAAAAGATGAAAGAGAATTCAACCTTTGAGAGAGGAAGTAATAATGACGATCTTTTCAGGAATTCAGTTTTAAGAAATTACTAGTAATTCTTTAAGTGTAAATGCTGAGGTGTGTCTGTTTTTGCCTTGTTTTTTGGAGATAGTTAAGATCTTCTTTCCTGTGTAATACGGAGCGTATTATTTTTAAAATAAGTATACCCCAGAGCCTGTGAATTGAAAATAGGCTCTAGGTAGGTGTATAAGCCCATCCCTAATTTCACCTCCTTTACTTGGGATGTTGTTCTGGATTAAGTCACCTCTGCATATGCTTTTATTTGGAGTACTCAGTGCACTTTGGGAAAAACCATTCCTTGTGGAAAGATAAAATCTAGTGTGCTTTGTGCCACTGAACTTGGCTACTATGCAATTCTCAGAAAACGTGAGGGTAGAATGTCGTGTTTGCACAGGTACATAGACAGACCGATTTATCCTTTAATTCAGTGTTTCAGATGGAATGATGTTTAAGATTGTTTACTCCTCTGACTCCAGTGTCTTTCACGCCACTGCATTTATATGTAAACTGGCATCAGTGTATTTATTATACTTAAAGGTGTTTGAGTCTATTACCATTGGGAAGTAATTTAATCTTTGGAGAGTAACAAGCTAATTTAAGGTTAATAGGTGCTTTCAGCTTTCAAATGTATGTATACATACGTGCCACTTCCTACATACACTAACTTCACATAATTTCTTTTTTGCTCAACATTATGAAAGTGTTTCCAAGGCACCCTGTTCTAGCTACCTGTGAAGCATAACTCATCCAGTCACCATATCTGATATTTGCTCAGATGGTTGATAATGCTTCAATATTTTAGAATCTGGCAATTTTCCTCTCCTTCCCGACAAAGTTGGTACTCGAATATTACATTTTGCTCAATTTCCTGAGACACATGTGGAAACTCAGCTGATGCTGAATGATTGCCAAATGAGTAATTCTGTTGACTCCGCCTGCACTATCGTTGCTGGTGTTACTGGTTGTCGTGATGGGATATAACACACAGTGGGTGAGATTGTCTCTCTGTTGGAAAGAATATTTATGAGTCATTTAAAAAAATGAGGATAAAAGTAAGCAGGACCAGGAGCTAAGTTAAATGTGCATTTTAAAATTGTTGATCTGTGGACATGCTCTTTTTGAAATTTATATTTTAAATAATGACATTATAATATAGTCTGATATTTAAAAGCAGATACAAGCCTTTTTCTTGAATGGAAAAAAAAAAAGATATTGAGTTAGAAGTTTGTCAGCAAAACCAAAATTGTCAGCAAATTGTCAGCTTTGTCAGCAAAACCAAAATTGTATGTAATATTTACTATCTCTATTTTAAAAGTATTTCTCCATTAGTTTTAAGGTCTCCTGAGAAAATCAATGTGTACTATCTGGAGAAATAAAGTTCATTGTGGGCTCAACAGAGGATTAAGTCCTGGAGAATTTATCCAGAAGAGAGTAAAGCTTTCACTGCAAGAACCAGCTGATTTATGAATAGTCTAAGTTCCCACATGGAAGTTAGCTACAGCTGTAGACAATGTCGCTGAAAAAAGCGAGATTTTATGAAAAATACTGCATAAAATATTCAAACATACCTATTCAAATAAAATATAAAGCAGAACCAATGATAATGGTCAGAAAATCATGTAAATTTTTTGGGGGGGAACCAGAACACAGAATCCTCTGAGGGACTCAGATTTCCTTGTTTCACACAAGTTTTTATTTTGATGATACTGTCCGTCAAGTAATTAATATAAGCCAAATAATGTAATAAAATTCTAATGTCTTGTCCAAGACCTCTAAAGGAAATTTAATTTAGATATAAAACAATAGATCAGCTTGTTCAAAAAAATAATATTCTATAGTCTTAAGCTAGTACTACGTTTTTCAGTTAAAATTAGAATTTATTTAATATTACCAGATTGATGTTTAAATTTTTAATTTAAGTGCATTTGGTTAAATTGGAGAAAATGTTTCAAACTTTTAAAATCTGTCTAAACATGATAACCTTGATAGCAAGCTTAATCCAGGCCCTGAACTTTGTAGTTTTCTGGCAGTAATTTTGGAATAGTCATTATTTACATAAATATGTAAACATTTATGTATGGAACTATTATACTACATAATGAGTATGAAAACAATAATTTAAAAATTCTAATTAATGTATTCAGTCATTGAATTTAACCCTGGAAATTAAATGGAAATATTTATAAATTTCAGAGTAACATCACTCATCTATAGTAATTGACTCTCTAAATGTGGAGAGACCTTCAGGGTCTTAGTAAATTTATAGACTGTCAGTCAAATCAACATATTCCAATGCATACATACTTCAATAAAATTGAAGTTACCAACTTAATAGGGTATTTTGTAACATTAAATTTGCTAGGTTCATCACTGAACATTGTTCTTTATAGTAAACCAAAGAATTTGCATATTTTTTGGTAAATTTATAACAGAAAACATTGAGACTACACACAATGTACCATGACATGGATTACTATCAGACCTACTGTATTTGCCCAGTATTGAAGTATTAGGTATGTAAATAGGATTTATTCATATATTTCTATTTGCCAACTTTATTTCATTAAGATTTCAATTACCAAAAAAATGCTTCATTTATTTCATCAAGATTATGTATGACTTAAGAAAAATATCATTTCAGAGACCAGAAAATTAACATGGCATGTCAAGGCATGGCAAATATTATGCAATGACAAACATGCATGACAAGGCATGGCCATCACTTGACTTGAGGGCAAGGAGAACAAATCAATTTGGTGACATGAAAATCTAGACAATGTGCCACAAAGAACCTGTCACTCTTTTTATTTTTTTCACTTTTTAGAAGGAGATGCCTCTTTCTTTCTTCCTTTCTTTGTCTTTCTTTTTGCCTTTCCCTTCCTCCCTTCCTTTCTTCCTCCTTCCTTCCCTTTCTTTCTTTCTTTCGTTCTTTCTTTCTTTCTTTCTTTCTTTCTTTCTTTCTTTCTTTCTTCTTTCTTTCTTTCAAGATGCCTCTTTTTCTAATGGATTTTTTATTCATGACAAAGTAAATTAAATGTTAGAAACACTCATGTATATATCATGAAAACTTTTCAATGTGACATTTTAGTTATTTTGGTCTGAAGTCTGATTTATTTTTAAATGACTTTTCTTGTGTTAATGCACATGTTTGCTTTTGTTCTGGATATCATTCAAATCTTTTGCAGTCTATTTCCTGATTTTTATTTGCCAGTGTTTAATCATTTTATTCTTGATTAATTTTTTTTAAATGTAGTTTTTACATTATTTACCATAACTTAGGTTGACTTTTTAGGTATTTTTGCAGGTGAAGTAGGTTTTCTTGGACATTGGTTGCATTTTTTATAATTCTGTATTTTCTGTGAGATAGAATTATTTTTAATTTTATTTTATTATGTTATGTCCGTCACCATACAATACATCATTAGTTTTTGATGTAGTGATCCATGATTCATTGTTTGCGTATAACACCCAGTGCTCCATGCAGTACGTGCCCTCCTTAATACCCATCACCAGGCTAACCCATTCTCCCACCCCTTCCCCTCTAGAACCCTCAGTTTGTTTCTCAAGATCCATCGTCTCTCATGCTTCGTCTCCCCTCTGATTTCCCCCACTTCATTTTTCTCTTCCTACTATCTTCTTTTTTTTTTGTCTAATACCATTTACATTTGGGTAGAAAACACCAACTCTGTGATTCAAATTAATGAGTCCAATGTGTATTCATTAGAATCAATAGTTTCCTTGTATAGAACATTTTTCAAAAATGTAGGGCAATTTCATTGGTTGGAAACCAAATTTTCTTTGAACAATTGGCAAAGGTTTTTTATCTATGGGAGAGCAGATGTTTTAAAGGGATCAGAATGAAAATCATATGCATATTTTGACGTGGATATTTATATCTGGTGAGGTAGAAGGAAGGTTACACTGGATTCTTGTCTAAGGCAAAAGTGATAAATGGTGGGAAACTATTCTTTTCAAGACTTCTTTAAAAATAGTTGCTGACATGGTAGCTGAAAAGGGAACATTTTTAACGACAAATGTAGATAGTCATATATTTTGATCATAAGATGCTGATTTTACACACTCAGCATTTATCTTTCCATGTTTCCATCTTAGAATATACTGGACTTCAATTTTATGCATGTAATATAAGAATCTGAGTGTCAGAATCTATTTGAATGAAACAAATACTGGTAGTATAATGAGGAGGAATTTGACATGCTAAATAGTAAAAATTTGCTTGTGGCAGGAAATCATATTTCATACAAAACAGTTCATTAATTGGAATGAGAAAAACAATTGTCCATGAAGATAGTTTAAGAACCTCCCCTGGGTTATAAAATACTCTTCTAAAGGATTTTT